GTGTATAACTGGGAATTGATGGATGTTTGGTCAAATCTTAGCGATTAGATGTAATGATCATGTCAGGAAATATTAATGTTATATTAGTGTTGAAATCATTTTTGAAATAAAGTTTAACTTTATAAAAAAAAAAGGTTAATGGGAAGCTAGTTATAACCATTAGCTTCTAGTTAGCTTGATGTACACAACAGATAAACACATTGAATGATTAGAAATGATCAAAACCCCAAATAGTTTAGCTTTAAACACTTTTCATAACTTTGCCAGACCTGTAACCAACTTTTGATCTCCATGTGGAAAGCTGAGGGGTCTCCAAGGTGAGAGGTGGGGTGAGCAAAACTGTATCGCCCTCCATCAACGTTAAAAGCTATCCTCATCAGCCATCAACACCCTTGTTTATAGATGTTGGAGATTGGCCTGTTTTCCAGTGTAGTCCTGTTTCTCTGACCGTGACTGAGTGGAGGTGCTCTCTTCATCCTCTGACATGGGAGCTGGCTTGAAGCTTGTCTGCCTGGCTGTGTGTTTCCTGGACGGGGCCGCCTTTTACAGCTGCTTTTTGTATCTCTGCTTCTGTCTCCTTGAACCCCAGTCGGCCTCAGCAGATGGCCGCTCACACTGAGCCTGGTTCTGCTGGAGGTTTCTTCCTGTTAAAAGGGAGTTTTTCCTCTCCACTGTCACTACAAGCATGCTTAGTGTGAGGGATTGTATTTGAGTCAATGAGTCGATGCAATCAACTGGTTTTCCTTAGATAGAAAACATTGAATCAATTTGACTAGATGATCTAGATGGATTGTAAAGTGAGCTGTGAATTGGCGCTATGGAAATAAACCATATTTAATTGAATTATGGCCACATGGGTCTTCTGGGTGCAGGTCCTCTGTTGCCTGGTCCTGGTTCTGCTGGGATGACCTGTCTTTATTTGGACCTTTCTGAAACTGTGAGGATAAGCAGCCAAGTAACATGGAAGATCTGAGAGAGTGTGTAGGCCAGTGGGTCCAGACCAGTCAGACCGTTAATAGGACTGTGTGGCTGTAGATGTGTGAGGATTCGACTCACTAAGGACTGCTGTTTATGATCTGTAAGGGCCTATAGCCGTCTGTGCTTCCCTCTGCTCCACGTCGTCCCATCGCGCTGCGTTGGAAGCTGCGGTCCTGATGAATTAGTCTGAATTAGCAGTACTTAGAGCTCAGACGGCTCCAGCATCTGGTTACAAATTAAAACAAAAGCAGCCCTATCTCCTCATCTCAGCTGCATCTCCATGAAATGCAATCTGCTCTGCCACAGCAGAATCCAAGGCTTCCTTCCGGCTGCCCTGTTCCTGCCGTCTTCAGCTCTACCTGACATCTTTCTCTTCATCAACCTATCCTGCAGCTTAATGACGACACCTGAGCAGCAGCCTCAGGAATGAAGACGGATATTAGGTGAAGCTTAAACCCAGAGAGAAAGTATTCCAGGTCTGACCCAGGAACAACCGGCAGCTCTGACTTTAGGCTGATCATAAGAGGAGCAGCTCTGGAACGTCTCCTGAAGGCACAGTCTGATGCCTCCTGAAAAAAAATCACCAGTAAATATTTCATTATTAAACAAGAAAGTGGAGAAATAAGCATCTACAGGAGGTTGAATACTTTCCCAGCCCACTGTGGATGAAGAGACCTCCATGAAGATAGACCTGTGTACCACCCATCCATCCTTCCAGCTGCCACGCTTCTTCCTCTGGTTTATCTTTTAGTATTTATCTCCCAATATAAAGTTGAGGTAGGGATAAAGATAAAAGCAGTCACCAAACAGGGAGCTGTGGATTTCTTATTTCATTTAGTTGGGAGTGAAACGCATTTTCTATCAGAATAAATTAGAGCGCTGCTCGCGTCCTGCTGCCGTAATCTGATAATTAAAGCTGCAACATTTAATAAGCCAATTATTATTATTAAAAACATTGGCTTCATCTTTTTAAGCCAAAGCAACTTTTGTTTTCATTTGAATTGACTTTTATAATCAGTCAGAAATTGCTTTTTGAGGTTTGTGTACAAAATAATGGCTGCTTACAGCCGTGAGTCAGAACTAGAACGGGCCTCAATGTGATGAGATTAAATACTAAATCACCAAAAGTCTGATTTAATATTATTCAAAAAAGGACATTTTTCAATAAATTTTTGTTTATTTCTAAAGCTCCAATTCCCATCTTTCACCTCAGGTGTCTTTCTAGATCCAGATCAATCAGATCATCCATTGATTGACTTTACAGGATTCTCTCCCTCTGGATGAGCAGGTAGAGACAGTAGATATAGCCTCTTCAGCAATCCCTCACACTAAGCATGCAGCAACAGTGGAGAGGAAAAACTCTCTTTAACAAGAAGAAACCTCCAGCAGAACCAGGCTCAGTGTGAGCGGCCATCTGCTGAGGCCGACCGGGGTTCAAGGAGACAGAAGCAGACAGAAAAAAGGAACATAGAAGCACTGATCTATAAACGGTTACTAATAAAGCAGTAAAGTAGTTCCACTGGGGGTTCTGTCTGGGAAAGAAATGGTTAATCAGACGGGCCGTGAGCCAGTATTAATATCAAAGGATGAAAGAGAGCCCATAGCTATGTCTAGGAAAGAAACAGGACTAAACACTAAAACAGGCCAACATCTATAAACAAAGGTGTTGATGGCAGCAGCACAGCTGATATTTCTCTCCAGGATGGAGTCACAGCCGAACAGGAACAGACCAGATGAAGC